TATATACTTTACCGGAAATTTTTTTTTTATTTATCCAAAATTTAAATATAAACTGTTTTAAAATTATCAGTTAATTCACTTCTGTTAACATAATATTAAAGGCTTTATCCATTTTTAATCTTTTGACCAATACGTAACTGCTTTTTAGATATATAAAAAAAGAATCTTTTTAACCAAAATTCAAATATAACCTCTATATATATTATTCGGGATTCTCTTGCGGCTATGCTATATTTTATCTCATGCTCTAACTGTCTAATGTCTGCATCTTTATTTGTTAACTATAACTTTTTCAACCCATTTTTTAAATTAAAATTTATTAAAGCTGGCTAGTATTAAAGTTATAAAAAAAGATTTAGTCTTAATAATGGTAAAATTATCAAATTGGAACAGTAAACTTTAAAATACTTAAATTAAAAATACAGTAATTATACATAGTTAAACCCTTCTATAATTATACAAAAAAAAATTCATAGTGCTTTTTTTTAAAAAAAAAATCCTTATACGTAAGGAGTTTTGCTTTTTTTATTATATATAGTGCGTATTTATAATAAAATCTTTATTTTTAAATACTATTTTTATATAATAATTGTAAATTTTTTTATAGCTACAAATAGTTTTTATAATAATTTTATTAATATATGTTATATTTTTTTAAAAAATTACGATTTGTATACTGTGTACATACATATATATGTATTTAATTAATCCATAAACTCTAACAAATTAATCCATAAACTTTAACAAATAAAAACTTTCAGAATGACTAGTTTGGAAAGGAAGAGAGACATAATTCAACTCTTTGAAACTTGTAAGAGAGATTCCAATATTAATTAATTCACCCAATTCAAAAATAGAATTGATCCAGTTAAAGTTCAATCCGAACCAAGTTCTTGAAATCCGGTATATAGTTAAATTTCACTTCTAAACTTAAACTACTTAACAATGCTAGCCTAACTAAAAAACTTCTGCAGGATTCCGACCCGACATTTTAGAGATTTTTCTGCGGAGCTTAGAGGTGCATTATTATTAAATTCAAATTCATTTCAGTGTAAAAAAAGACAACTTTGGCTTAAAACTAAAAAAAAAACATTATATTTGTTATTCTTAGAGAAGCATAATTCCAAACTGAAGTTTATACCCTAAAAAGTTAAAATTATAAGAATCATAATATGTAAAATGTGATACGTACGTACCGGTACGTACTTTGTAAGGAACAGAATAACGATCCTTATAAAGATAGCAATATCAGGGTACTGATTTTCTATATCTTAATTTAACAAATTAAGGGATATATCGCTAAAACAAATATTTATTTATCGTTATGTTCATGAATCAATTTTTTTTTTGGTGCCCGTATATGCATGTACGTACGTAAATATACGTACGTACGTATCAGGTATGTACGTACGTACGTACATTTGATAAGCACGTAAAAAAAATCACTTCGAAATTAGTTCCTGTATTGGAACCGGTTCTGATTCTAGAGAAAACCTGATTCACAGGTGACATGTGACATTCAATATTTTATGAGTCTTTTTTCGTGGCTTGGGTGATATGTTTTGCGTCATCTATCACTGTCATATCATATGTGTATATATATATTACAAATCGCATAAAATCCGTAAAATCTATTCTTTTTTTCTTTTTTTACCAAACATTGATCGCGTTAAGAGTATTGAATAAAAGGTAAGAAAACCTAAATTCAAAAAAAAAAGCAAATATGCTGAAATTGTCTTTTGAAAAAGAATGTTATAAAGGCCTACTCGCGTTTTTGCTTTTTGTTTATGAGCTGGCGTTATCGCGAGGGTTTTTTTTTTTTAGCCTTCGTATTTATGATCAAAATCGTGTAATAAAATAAATAAAATATTGATCTTTTAACAGTAATGTCGACTACTTGGGGAAATGTTGAATCTTGGCCTGTGGACCAGACCTTATCGTCTAGAGGACCAGCTTATAATACAAATCCATCAAATATGGAGTCATTTTCTTCTGAAAACTCGTGGGGACCAAAGCCCGTGAATGTGTCGAGTTCAACATGGGGTAATGTGCCTCAAACACAATCACAAAACAGTTGGGGAGCAAATGTGGCTAGCTCGTTCTCTAAGGAACCTTCAAATCAAACGAAACAAGCATCTCCTGAAAACAATTGGGGATCAAAGAATTCTCCCAAGACATGGAGTGCTAGTGTTAATAAAACTGATGATGATGATACGTGGGATCCAAGTTATAATAATATTAAAACTTCTCCAAAAGTACCTCGTCCGCCACCTCCAAAAGATCATAATTATGATAATGATTCTGATCTGTTGGGTATGTAATGATTTATGTTGTTTAACTATAAATTTCTGTTCTAAATCAATTCATTCGTTTAGGTGTACGGAGAGAAAAAGCTGCATCAAGGGATAGGAATTCTTCTGTGATTATGTGTAACAAAGAGGTTCAAACCGATCCGATTAATCTGGCACACATAAAGTCTTTACCACCAAAATGGTCAAC